TACTCGAAGGAAGGGTATAATTCGGTTTTTGAAAACTTCTCCAATTCCCGAATAATTTTGAACCCGCTCTACCGTTACACTTGGATCCAGGGTTTCCAAACTACACATCGTATATTTTCCGCGTACGGAAAACCACACATTTATCTACAGTAATATAGGGGGATTATATATGGTTCCATATTGTTAACTTTGCAAGTCACATTAGTAAATGCATAGACATGCCGATTTATGAACGGCCATTTCACGGTATTTAAAAGTCCAACAATTAGAAGCTATTTAAAACCGAAGTATGTCTCTCCTTCCAATATAAAAGTAGAAGAATACGCAATGTTCTACTGAATGAACAAAAGAGTGAATATTTTTATACACATTTCCCATAAAATATAATTTGACTTTTAGGGGCATCAAAAATCAATGAGAAAAATCATGCTACATAAGGTGTCATTTTTTCACAGAGTGTAGTTCTTGGATTCCGCCGGAATAAAGTTCATTCGAAAGCCGGCATTCTGAGGTAACTGAAATACTTTACGTTTGTGTTACAGGCTGACTAGTTCTGCAAAACTACTTAATTAATCTTTTTGAAACCAAAACGCATTTTGGAATTGCGGTCGACATTTCATGAGTTAGCCCACCTACAGTAGTTCGTCATGAACTTTCTTTGAAGCTGTATCCTTCCACTGTTTTCTTTTTATAAATAATATTGTTCAATCATACCGAATATCCCGATATTATTCCAAAGTTGTCACGAATTTCTCACAGAGGTCGAGGTTAGGATAGCAAAAGTGGACGGAAGGGGGGTCTGCTACCGAGAAAATAAAGGAAGTGCCGTTCGGATGGGAAAGGAGCTTGGATTTTTCGGGACTCGGTTGGGACTTGGGAAGTATGACCAGATAGTTTCCATTACCGCACGAAATTTTGCTGCCTCCAACTCGATTGACCCTTAAGCTATCATAAAGATTGTAGTACTAAAGTGCATGGCCATTTATACCCCTGATATAAACTAATGTTGCGTGGATACATGACTGAGTCGAAGTCGTCATTTAACAAAATTAAACTGAAGCCCACAGCAACTGGAATTAATGATGCTGGAAGACACATTTCTCAAACCACGGAACAATTTGTTCAAAACCGTTTTGGATTACGACTCGAGCCCATCATTAGAGACAACAACAGATACCTGCTTGTCCTTGTCTTTGATGGGTTCCACCAGAGATCCGAAACTACGGGCGAATAACGCCCTTCTTTCAGCGGTCGTTTCTCCTTTTTCGAGGCTGCTTTCCGGAACTCATCTCTTTGCTTCTTTTTGGGGGCTTCTACCTGCGAAGCTGTTTCACTCTGGAGGCTGTATAAACTAGCCTAGGGCCTCTCGGTCTCTCCATCCCTTACAAACTTCCTAGTGGATGTCGACGAGCTAAAATCTTCTCGGAAAGAATCAGGCTTTGCAAAGCTGTTGGTAGGCAGGTTGGCCGCACGGAGACCTTGCATCCGCTTCACCCGTTGGGAACACAGGACCGCTATCCAAGTCCATGTTCGGATTAGAAATCGAATGTTGCGCTGAGAAGAATTTTCTCAAGTTCAGTCCTCATGTTTCATCAGCGCAGGTGTCTGATGAAGCTTGTCAAAAGAGAGATCAGCCAACATGTGATCTTATACGAACCTTCACACCTAAGGCATCCCTATCCGTGAAATCTAGCAGAAATCTCTTCGCCTAATTCAATCGCATCTTCAGTATGACAGAAACGGATGACATATACTAGATCATTGGGCAACTATAGGTTCTGTAACCCCATTGGGTTTAGCATGTATGGGCAACTACTATATTTGTTTGAGAAGTACTTGTTTTCTTTAGTAGTCCATAGTTACAGGTGTCCCCCCCCCTTTGTGTGTTATCTATCGCTTTGATATGACAGTATGCACCCAGTTGTTTCAGTATGAATTTTTTTATTGATAAATTATTTGGCATAATGTTCTTGCTCCCCCTCCCCGTAGTCCCTCTGTCTTACCTTGATTTCCTAGTTACCCCAATATACGGGCACTGCGTTTCGTTGTCGATTACGTACGCCGTGACTTACTTGTTTCTTCCCGAATAGTAGTTGAACCTGCCTATGCCATGGCGCTGCCCCCCATACTATGCGTGCTGCAAGGATCTCCGGCTGCGTTTTTATTAATTTTACCCTGGCTTGATCACACACGCTCTGCTTCCTCGATATCTCCTAACGGTTTCTGTTGTCGCGAAGTACGCCTGATTTATTCATTTCTTCAAGAATACTTGTGCATAGTCCCCCTCATAAACAGTAATAAGACAGTTAATTTTGATTGAGAGGTGGGGTTATACAACCTACCATTACCGATTACTGGACCAGCATCTTCAGGAAAATTTTAGAACGTCAAACAGGTCATTCTGTCAAATTGTCAAACTGTCATTCTGGATATTGTACTACTTTTTGAGGATAATTAATTATTAATTAGCTAATAGCAAACCCTGATAATTATTTACAATGATATTTAAAACGCTGTTAGTTCCGGTTGTGTTTGCTTCTTAGGTTTTTGCATTGACGTGCGGTTCGTATTCCTAGGAATTAAGTGTACTTATTTAACGCACATATTGGAGTTGTACGACTATGGCGAAGCAAGCACCATTTAAGCGCTATTTATTGTCTATGGTCAGAATTAGGCATTTGCGCGTTTACTAGGCTGAGACAGATGGGTTATAACTGAAATGCTCGTAATTACTTTAAGACCGAGGCTGAGAAGGTTGGTGCTGAGGAATATACTCCAAGTTTACACATTAATTGCTGGAGAAATAAAAGCCCTATCATAATGAATCGATGTTGCCTCAACGTTCAGTCATTCGCTCTGAGTCGTTGCGACTGTGTCTTAGTTGAGAAGAAAACCATGACAGAACATGATTTAACTAGATAGCGGATGACCGACCTCATGAAATGTTCGCCGAAATTTTGAAATGCGCTCTTAGTCAGGGAGGATTACTCAGCTGGTGTTGTAACATTAATTATCGCGCAGCATAATCCCACAATATTTCGGATTCGCCAGAATGTTGGCTTTTGAATGCGTTTCTTTTAGACCTTCTGTAAAAACTGCATTCGTTAAGAAATGATTGCTTATGGAGCATGCGTTGCTTACATTTATTTTCGATGGCCTTACAAATTCAAATGCATTTTATGGAAAAAATGCACAAAAATATGCTTGCTTTAACTCAGCTGGTAACAAATCACGTTGTCTTCACACATTGTACTCGAGGAAAGGGTACAGTTGGGTTTTGAAAAAGTTTTCTAATTTCCGATTAATTTTCAGTCAGACCAGCCACTGCAGTAGCACGCAGAGATTTCAGTCTACAAAGCGTAAACTTTTCGCAGGAAGGAAAATCATATCTTATTCTACGCCTTCAAGGTGCCATGCGGTGCTCATCAGATTTTGGGATGGATGCGGACTATGTTGCATACTTTATGAAGAGCATTAACAAGGAGGCAGGTCCGCGGCTATAATCAGAAACTTTTTCGAAACCTAAATGTGCCTTTCCTCGAGTATAAAATGTGAAGACGATGTGATTTGCTACAAAACGAATAACCGAAAGTTTATTTTCGTGCATTTTTTCTATAAAATGCATTTGAATTTATAAGGCCATCGAAAATCAATACGGAAAATGCATACCCCATGAGCAGTCATTTTTTGCCGAGCGCAGTTTCTACAGAAGGTTAAAGAGAAGTGTATTCAAAGCGAATATTCTGGCGAGACCGAAATATCATGGCATTTTGCTTACTGATAATTAATATTGCAGTCCCAGCTAAGTAATCCTCCCCGACTAAGAACGCATTTCAGGATTTCAGCGAACATTTCATGAGCTCGGTCACTCACTGTAGGTGAATGATGGAAACGGAGTGCGGATCCTGTTCAGAGTTGCAGCAGCCGAAAAAATGCTGTGCCAACCAAAAAGCAACAATGAATTTGAACGCAGGTCGTACACCTGCTACATCAGAGACACCATAAATTATATTCTGGTCAGTTCTTACCCTCCCTCCCAAGGGATTAGTAAGTAGGCGCTTGCGACGCGAATCTTTTTCGGTGATGAGATGTAGCCAGGGGAAACGGGTTAAATGATGGGTCCCAAGGGGTCGGATAGGAGGTCCATTTACAACTTACAGTCTACCCTCAGGGTTTCGTAAAATGAACTTTCATAGTGCCATTCTGATAGTGCTTCTGGCTAGTCAGAAGTCATCGTTTTTGAAGATTCCACACGGAACCGGTATCCAGACAATATGTTGGAACCTTCCGCTGCCAGCTTTATTTGCTTCCCCGACTCCGGTTTAACTTTTTGCTGATGCCAAAAAGTAAGAGCCGCCCTACGGATGCCTCACACATGGCTAGTTGTCAATTACTCTTCTTTTAGACGTTTTCCCCAGACTCCTCGCTAAGTGAAATGCGTTCGTATAGTCTCAATATGTTGTCTTGAACTAGCGGGGGCTGGCGTCGGCCTACGAAGAAAAGACCAAAATTGAAGTAGTTTCTGCCGCCAGTATGTAATTAAGTATAACATCTGATACGTTGGCAGTATCATTGTCCTCGCTACTGTTGTTGTTGGTCCTGACTTCCGTAGTATTATCTTTAAAGTGAAGGGCTTTACGGGGCGGAATATTATTAATGATAGTAATATTAGCAGTAATAACCGTACTCATGGATCTATCCGCATCCGCAGGTTTAGACGCACAGCAGTCGTCGTACACAATTAATTGGACAAAGCATCAATTGCGATTCAAAGATTGATCGTTAAAAATGATCATATGTGTAGGTAGGGAAAGAGTGAATTGCTAGAAGTCAGGCTTCTACTGACTGCAAAGAGACATTTGTGACTTGAATGCACTGGTAGGGCGATATCAGTTACTGTTGCTCCAAGCAGCCAAAAGTCGCTTTGACCGACCCCGAACTCGGCCGTGAGTGTGTGTGTGTACGCGCTACCCACAAACTATAATTCATGCGGAAGCGTGTCAGAGATAGAAGAGATCGGCATCCACGTCCTCGGTCTCTGCGTGTTCCTGTTCCACCTTCTGTGTCTGATGACTTTCTGGCGGGCACGAGCGCTCCACAATACGACGTCCCCGATGCCATCTGGGCGGTTCTCTTGCCTTCTCAACGGCTCGGCGCAGACGTGCTTCGTGGGCCAGGGCTTCCTGCTGTTTCTGGCGTTGACGTGCCAGGAATCGATTGTGCTCGTCCACAATCTTCTTGGCTTTGATGACTCGGGCTCGGCTATAGCCGGATAACGTGCGCGACAAATCGTCAATCGTGACTTCCAGAACTTTCAGCATCATCAGTGTGTCTAGTCGAGCTCCACCCTCGGAACTGAAGACCTTCGTGTATACCTTGTGTATCTGGTCGTGCAAGATCTCCAGCATTTCGCCTACTGTTGGCTTTGGTTCCTCCTTGTCGGTGGAATTGCCTTTTCTATTATTTCTTTCCTCACGCATCCAAGGCATCTCAAACTGATCAATACCGCCCAGATTAAATATCTTCTCGTAGCGTTCAAGAAGGTTGAACTCATTGATAGCGTCCTTGGCAACAACGATATCCGCGACGTCGCGTTGGAGGTTGTCGATCTCTTCCTTCTCACGACTGATATGGGCATCCACTGTGTTCCGCTCCACGTTTAAAATCTTCTGCAAGCGTGCTGCCTTTACCCTCACTCGCTCACAGGCCTCCTCCTGTTCTTGCACATTTTCAATTAGAGTGAGATTGTTGGATTCCAGTTCAGCCAGAATGTCTACCAGGTCCTGGGGACTTTTGAAGAAGGCATTCACCGAAAGGGAGTCAGTCACATCCTCAGAGTTGGTCTCCTTTAACCAGGAGACTGGAGTCCCAGTCTCAGTGTCATCGGCAGTTTTGCCCCCAACGGGCTCGGTGACACCTGCGGTTTCTGTGATGGCACCCTCCTCGCCATGATTCTTGTTGGTAGCCTGTGGATCGTTCAGGGATGCCGACATTTTTGAGACGGTCTTCGATATATTCGCCTTGTTTTCTTGCAGGGTTCGAGCCACTGTGTCCAGGAAGTCTTTGTACGTGCTCAGACGTATAAATTCTTCCTCTAATTTGATACACTCAGCATTCAGATGCGCCAGCTTGTACCGAGTTCGTTTGATACGTTCAGAAATGACTAATCGTTTGTGCGCTTCAGTTTCAGCCAGGTGGATTGCTTCCGCGGTTCTCTGACAGATGGATTTAAGGTAACGGTCGTGCTCGTCATGTCGAAGTAGGAGATCTTTCTCCTCTCGTGACAAAAACTCTGACTCCGCCTTTAGCATTTGATTCAGGCGATCAATTTCACCCTCCTTCGTACGGATAGCCAGCTCCATCATGCAGATTTTTTTTCTGTCGTCAATGAAAGTGTTAATCTGGTCAAACGTCTCTGTGGAGTTGTCAGAGGGCTTTGTGGAACGACTTTCTGTCGTTGAGGGACCAATCCGCACGTCGTCCTTGGAGGATGACTCATTAAAAACACTATCCTTGCGTGAAGAATCTACCGAAAGAGAGGACACAGTTGGTTTGCTCGCAGCGCTAACATCCTCGGGTGTGTTTACTGGCCCCTCGGTCGCCTCAACAGCCACGCTCTCCTCACTCTTCTTGAACAACAAGGGAACATTGTGCTTGTCAAAGGGCTGCAGAGTCAGATTGGCTGGACCAAAGAGCATGCCATGACGACGAACTTCGTTTAAGTTTTCCTCAAAAATTAGGTCCTTGAGGTGAGCGTGGGCCGTGAAACGTTGACGAAACTCTTTAGGAATTTTGGTAGCCAGATGCCCAGCACGACGCCATCTATTTAATTCCGACTGCCTCCTATCGTTAGCCTGACGTTTAAGTTCTCGAATTCGTTCATGTTTAATCATCGTAAAGGCATTGCTGGTTGGCCAATTTTCCAGTAGATAACTCGGCTCGGGTCGCTTCTCCAGGAGGGGTTTATCCACATTGGATTTTGGTGCGATCAGTTTCTCCATGTAACGCACGAATGGAGCTCGTGTAGGATAATGCAATTTTACTACTGGCTTTACCTCCATGGCGTAGTCGTTGTTTAGACTGGCACCCCCACTTCCTGGAGTGTTTTTGGAGAGGTGCGGCAGCGATATCGTGCTCTTCCCATTTCCTATTCCTTCATTCATGGCACCTGAACTAGATATTTACCAATCGCGCACTGATCAAGTCGCGTTTGCGCGTACCCCTGCATGCGATTTAAACAGCCGGCGTGGTCATTTGACTATAACCGTCGCCCGATCGATATGTAGTGTGTAGACTGTAAATAGACCAGCATGCGGAGTTAACTCGCGGGCCTTAACGCAGAGCCAACGTTTCTGTTGCATCTTTCTATATTTCTTCAGGAATTAGTCGTTGACGTGGAGTAAATCACCCTGTTTGAGACTCACAGACTCAGACTGAACTTTAATTTGAATAATAGGGCCGATGTACAGCCACGGCCACAGCGGAGTACCGGCGCAATATCCATTAATCGCCAACGGAGGTTGCATGATACACCATACGCGACAGCATAGGTACTAGGTAAAAGTCCGGACAGTTTTTTCGACGATGTTCTGCCGCTGCATGACACGGCTGCGAGGATTTCGGCTCATCAGTAGGTTCCCCAGCGTTTGTCCTGTGCTTTCTAATAGATACATTAGTTTTGAAAATCCAGCCATTTATTTTCCCCAGAAATTAATCGCCAACTTGGAGTAAGTCAGTCTATCTGAGATTTATAAACTCAGACTGAAATTCGATATGAATATTTGGAGTAAAGTCATTTACAGTGGAAGGGGTCTGCTTACTGAGAGAAGTAATGAAGGACGCCGGTGTAAAGTATGCCTACATACGGAAAAATATGGCAAAACTTTCTCCCACCGACAGCAGTAGGTTGTGCAACCCCTACTCCGCAATCGATAACCACACGCCCGTGTAATGCGGAAATGGTGGTAATAGGGGCATTACGAGAGGAGCATCATCGAGGAGGGGGAACGAAATACATGCATCAAAACTTAAATAGGTTGATTTCCGCTGAAATTCTTTTCTACGCCTATATATAACAACGGAAATGAGCGCGCCGATTAAAAAATAGAAAAATAAACAACTTGCAGTAAATAAAAGGTAATCAAATTATCCGCCACTCGCAAATTCACGACACATCAAGAACCAATGGAAGGAGTAATCAATAGAAGAGAAGAATGTCAGTTGTGGTTGTGTAGCCCCACTTAAAGTAAACAAACCCAAACCACCTGTAATACGGAAGCAGTGGTAATAGGGGTTTTTACAGGTGGGACCGGGGAACGCACAGGCGACGAGGTCAAGTAGTTGCATGCGAAAGAAACGCTGTTGGAAATGCGCGGCTGTACTATGAGTGCTTGAGAAATAGTTGCTCTAGCCCTTAACCCTGACCCCAAATCTAACCCTTAATCCTAACTCCCAACACTCACCTCTAACGCTAACCCCAACCCAAACAGTATTGTGTCCATCAGGTTGAGCTACATGACCACATCTTACCGAGAAAAACGATAAGCGTCAAATATTTCAAATGCGGAAATAAACTACAAGAAGGCTTAATGCACATGAGTGTTAGAGAAGCTATGAAAATGCATCCTAAAGACCAGGCGAATAGTCAAATTACGTAATTATGAACACTTGTTTGTATCTTGGTAATAAGTCAACTGACTGCTGTAAAGAAAAGCTGCAAGGATAACAAATACGTATATGTAACGTTTATGTACAATACGGAGATGCAATTATGAATACGGTAGGTACTAATGGTTGTTTTTTTCTTCTAAAATACAGACAATCGGCTCAAGGTCGGAGCAAGGTCAGACAACTGCAACTTGACTTTCTGACCAGCGCGGAGAAAATAACCGAATCTATAGACTCGAAATAAGTGGTAAAATACTGTCAAGTAAGCAGGCTGCTATATAGTGCGCCAAAATGCGCCACCAAGCAATGAGGCGGTACACCGACAGATATGTGTTCCGGTGCGGCCGATGGTGAAGCAGGAAAGCTCTAGGGGTTCCGGTGTTGCATCAGGAAATATAGGCCCACGTAAACGGGCCTCAATATCGTCTGCGGTTTGGCCTAGACAGTGTTGGCCTAAAGCCAGCTTGGGAAATATCCCTGTCACATATTGCGGAAGCATATCTGATGCAACAGCTTCCCGAACAGGGGACCTGAAGGGTTCCTTTCTGAACGCAATTTAACGATCATTTAGGGGTAGCGTTTTTGTACATTAACTCAGCTGACTTTAACTGTCTTATTAGTGATTATGTGAAAGACTACGCACAAACATTCATGAAAAGTTAGGCAAGCCATGGCGTACGCGTTCGACAACAGAGACCATTCGGAGATATCGGGGAAGCTGGGCGTTTTGCGCTCTAACCGAGGCAAAGTAAACCAAAGCGCTCGACGACCCTTAGAGCACGCATTGCACGGTAAGTGTCAACATGGCACAAGAAGATTAATCTGCAGTTATGTAATGATTTACCATGTGGCGGCCAAGGATGTGAGATCAACTTAAACCACACACAATAAGTTCGTTTCATCTAATGTCAGAAGTCATGGAGCTGTGAGGACTAGTTTATTCTATACACAGGACATGTTGCCGTAAGTTGGCTGTTTGCTTGCGACAGAGATAAGCGTCCGTTCACGGAAAGCGTCAGTCGCGGTGTCAGGATCAGCAGGGGGGGGTGACTGGCTGTGTCGGCCCTTAATTGGACAAATTAGGGGAGGAATAAGGGGAGGCATACTCACAATGACTCATGGGTATCAAACCAGGGCTTTCGACGCGCGTGAGGTGATGAAAGTTTGTGAGGTCAGCTGACAGTCACTGGAGGTGTCCCAGTTCCAGCCGGCGGGGGTGGTCGTGTGTCAACAACTGTCGCGGCCATTGTTCGAAACTAACTAAAAGCCCAGACCCGCGTGTTTCACCGATCTTGTGCTGCTGCCTGACGCACCTGCGAGGGGTTCGGCTCATCAGTGGGTCCCCCAGCCTTCCTCTTGTGTTTTCTTGTATACTAGTTCCAGTGTCAACTTGCCTTATCTAATTTCCGAGGTAATCCATATAAAATTGCAGACCACGTCTGTTCCGAAGGCTTAGCTCCAAGTTCGCGCATGAATTTCCTCGGAAATTAAACAAGGCAAGATAATCTATTCTTTTCGAAGAAGTAAATACGTCATGGTGTACACAACCGAGAACAGATATCGAGGAAACCGAGAGTTTGTGCTCTAACCGAGGCAAAGTAAACCAAAACGGAGCCGACATTCCGCTACCGTGTGAGTACAATCATGATAAAAAGGTGTAGCTACCCTTTTGTAAGAAACGGACTACGGATAGGGACGAAAACAAAAGGCCACCTCATGCCAATTAATTATGTCACTTAAACGACCATACTGAAACAGCTCGGTGCTTGTGACTATGTTAGGGCGCTAGGTAAAACTCAATAGGTGACTTCCTGCAATTGCGAATCGATAAATTAAACAAAGTCTACTAAAATAAATATAGCAGTTATTTATGCATATTAAACCTACTGGGGCTACACAGGCCATCTTTACCCTTCCATCAATATAAATTAAAGAAAACCTATCTTAAAGCCTTTTCTGTTCGACCTTGTTTTGGGTGTTAAGTCTGAGAGAATTCCACATGACTCACGGCACTCATAAAGAGTTTCATGCATTGTTAACTCTTCTACCAAAGTCATTTGCAACTGCTTGAGGTTATGGCATACCTTTGGTGGGGTTTTAATTATGGCTTGCATTTATCATTAAACAAATCAGTCAGATTATTTTCTTCACTGTAAATTACAATTTTTAACTTTGTCCGAAAAGGCAAATTTTTTAGAGCCTGCTGCCATTTCGGACAAAACACCCCTCGAAATAAGCACCAAAAAGTGACGTAATAAAATGCTTACCCATCTGGAGCCAGACTCACCGTATTTTAGGTCGGATGTTGTGGGAAGTGAGAGTGGGGTAGATACCGAACAAGCCTACCTTACAATTAATAAATTCGCGGTCAGGTCAACCTGGTGGTTATACCCAGAGTGGCAGTGGTACACCTCGTTACAATCACTTCGGCAAATGACTCAAGAGCTCCATGCTGAAGCCACAACCGACCGTTCGTCCGTCCTACCCTACGGCGTCCACCGTGTGCTTCACAGAAAGGGAAAGCGGACGCGGTAAGTTGTGCGTGAGTCAGTTTATAAAGGCAGTAGACTTGCACAACATCTGTTATACTTTATCCTCTAACTTCCCACACGGAGCCGGTGCTAAAACGTAGTCAAGAAGACCGGAGATGGGGAAGAGCGCCGGTTGGACCCGCACCTAGGAGTACCACCACACCCTCCGGTCCACAAAAAACACTTGACCAGGATTTTAACCAATAACATCATCATCAACAACAACAATGACAGCAGCAGAAAGACGAGGATAACTGACAAAGTCTACGAACACAAATATATCAGTTAGTTATGCATATTAAACCTACTGGTGCTACACAGGCCATCCTTACCCTTCCATAAATATAAATTAGACAAAGCCTACCTTGACGCCTTTTCTGGTCTACCTTGTTTTGGGTGTTAAGTCTGAGAGAATTCCACATGACTCATGACACTCATAAAGACTTTCACACATTGTTAACTGTACTACCAAAGTCATTTGCAATTGCTTGAAATAAGGAATTGCCTTTGGGTGATTTTAATTATTACTTGCATTTATTATTAAACAAATCTGTCAGATTATTTCCTCCTCAGGAAATTATAATCTTTAGAACTTTCTACCATCTCTGACAAAACACACATCGAAATAAGTACCAAAAAGTGACGGAACAAAATACTTACCGATATGGAGCCAGACTCACCGTACATTAGGTCGGAGGGCCATCAAGCCGACGAGGGCCTTACCAATCTCCTCGAAGTGCAACCTCGAAAAAGCTACTGAGGGAATACTTCTTCGTTATGCAATCTCTCTGCTTGAAGTTCTC